ATCACCAAACACTAACAATATTTTTATTATTATTTTTGATATCATAACTCATATTGTTTTATCTCTGGCCTTAAAGCTTTCAACTTGACAAAATTTTACCACATAAGTGAATTAGTGCAACACTTTTACGATGCGCGAGAGCGTATTTGATCCCTGAATAAAGAGACTATCTTTAATAAAATATGATATAATTATATTTGTTTTTATCTTTAAATGGTATAATGTTTTAATGTAAAAATTGTATCCAAGGAAAAATATGTGATCTATTGAGGCCACTTCACATTATTAGGTTGGCTTAGAGGTTTAATTTGTGGGATTCATATGTAAATAATGCGATGATGACCGAAAAAATATGATCATTCCTCCTTAAAGTTTCCAACTTGGTGATACTCTACAACGTTAGTAAAATAAAATGACTAATACTACCTCCGTTTCTCAAAACAATTCCCCTTTTGACTTTGGGGAAGAATAAGGAAGTGTTAAATTGTAGTTGACTTTCCAATTTTGCCCTTGATGTGATGGGTAAAAGTAAGATGTGATGGTTTAGTTGTTAGTGAAAAAGTATGATGTGATAGGTAGGGTATGAAAAAGTAGGGGTAAAAGTGGTTTTTTAATAGAAAAGGGAAGTGTTTTAAGAAAAACAAAAAAAATGAAAGAGGAAGGGTTTTAAGAAACGGAGGGAGTACAATTTTTCTATTAACAACGATATTTTAAGTCAAGGTTTCTTTAGGGGGGACGTTTTCTAAAACGAACATTTTACAACTTTTGCATAAACTAAGGAGGAATTCTTTTTCAAACAATTCAAAACCATTTTTATTCATATCCCTGTCTTGTTTGCTATTAACAAAATGGGGGAAATTCACTTTACAATGACATTGTACTTAAGTTGTGTTTGGTAATTTGATAGGTTTTGATGAATGCCAAACCACTGTTGATATGAAGAGCTTCATTGAATAACTCAAGGCGTAAATCAAGGCATGGCAAAAGGCACTAAAGAATTAAGAACAAGATCAAGACTATTGAAGACTTACGTTTTTAGTTGAGTCAGTTTGTTGTGATAAAAATCGACCATGGTCTTTGCGTCTTGGTTCTCAATAGCTAAAATCATAAAAGCAATTTTTATGCATCACACAAATGATTTTCATAAACATTTTTTAAGTTGCCAAAACCCCTGGTTTTTGCCCAAGCTAAAACCAACATTCGGCGTTCTGCGTCTGGCGTTCGACTTTCGGCATTGGTTTCGGTATTTGTTTTCGGCATCCGAATCAACCACTTGGTTTTTAACCTTTTATGATTGGTTTTTAATTCTGGGCATATTTAAATGGTTTCCCAAAAAAACTTTCTAAAACCCACCTTTGGTTTTTGGTCTTTGTCAAAAACCATGAAAACCATCTTTGACTTGCTGATCCGTGGTTGTCACCTAAACAAACTGATTTTTAAGTTTTTATACTTGGTTTTTTACATCAGTTTTTGGCGTTGGATGGCTAAACCATGGTTCTGGCATCTAGACCCAACAGTGATGTTGAAGTTCATAAAAGCGTTGTTTTGGCCAAGCCTGGGAAAACTTCACTTTGGTAGAAGGTTTCCCAACAACGATGTTGGAAGTGCAACATCGATGTTGTGGCAAAGCCTGGGAAAACTTCACTTTGGTAGAAGGTTTCCCAACTGTGATGTTGGAAATTCAACATCGATGTTTGGCCAGGCCTGAAGAATTCTAGTAGGTTTCCCAACAATGATGTAGGTGATGCTACATCGATGTTTTAGCCAAAGTTGAGAAAACTTCTATTTGGCAGAAGGTTTTGTAACAACGATGTACACTCTTGTATATCGATGTTGCAACATGACCGTTGGGGGTATTTTGAAATCCTAAGGCTGAAAACATCGATGTTGGTTTGGTAAACATCACTGTTCATGTGACTGGTGTCAAAGGCAGTCAAAGCTCATTACAGCGATGTAGGGCATTGTAACATCACTATTTTTGGAATCTGACTGTAGCAGATTTCCTTAATTTCCACAATATTTAACTAAATGTTTTTGGAAGGATTAGCAATGGTAACCTCGAGTTTTTTCCTATAAATTCAGCCTTAAACACCACTTAAACACACAATTCTTCATTTCATCAATACTCTTTCATTGAATTATTCGTATTCATTTTTCATAGCTTATGAGCGCCATTTCATGAAGAAATTGTCATGTTCTTGAGTATTTTATAGTTTATCTCTTTATCTACCCTTTCTAGAGAGTGCTTTGTATAAGAGAGAGGTTTGAGAAGACCAATTCCTCTTATTAGGTGTTGAGCTTGCTAAGATCTATAATCTTAGTGGTTGAAGTCTCGGGCAAGGATTCCAAGAATTGAAGTCTTGTAGAGCGTACATCTACTAGTGGTCAAAGTCTTGGAGTGCGGTATCTCCGAGCAAGTGTATTGAGGCAAGTGTGACTCAATTTCTAAGGTTTTAACGGTTTTTTAAGAACTTGTAAGCTTAACGGAGTTAGTGTAGCTCGAGAGAGTCTCTCAAGAGACTGGATGTAGCCACAAGTTGTGGTGAACCAGTGTACATCGGTGGGTTCTTTCCTTACGCTTTTTACTTCCCGCTTACTTTGTTTTTAATTTCTTGTGATTTCGTTCAAACGCTATTCACCCCCTCTAGCATTGGGCATTTATCCTAACATTATCTCCGTGGAGCTTTGAGTAGCTGACTTGTTTTTCAATGACCTTTGCACCGGCACTTCACATCCAGTTTTGATAACTCTTGAGTTTTTTGAGTTCATACTTTAGGTTTGATGCCTCACCTTCCATGTGTTCAAGTTTGAGTTGTAGATCATCACGGTTCTTTTTGATTACTTCCTATTCAGATTTGAGTTGATCTTTATCCATAATGTTCTGCTTCTTAATCTTGAGGAGATTAGTCCATTTTTCTTGCAGAACAATAAGTTGTTCTTTAACATCTTCTTGGTCAACTTGTGCCACAAATGCACAGTTGCTTTCCCCCTCAAATTCTCCTTGATCTTGCTCATCGTCACTTTATGTGGATGAGAAGGATTTCCATTTTCTTCAATTTATTTGCACACTCTATTTGAATCTGACCAAAACCTCCACACTCGAAGCATTTGGGTCCCTTCCTCTTTGTTTCAAAAAGTTGTTTTAATAACATGTATTTCTCTTTTAGTTATTCATCATAGTATTTTCACAATTTAAAGAGTTACTAAAACAAAACATTAATGAGTATGATTCATTCTCATCAAGCTGAGAAACACAAAGATGCAATAGGTGATTTATTACTAGATGTGGTAAGAGGCCCCTTATTGGTTGCAAAATCATACCCAATACACTTTGTAAAGGGGTATTGATTTCACACTAGAAAAACATGGTTCAAAGCGTTTAACGTATAACTGTGGGATGGCAATTACAAGAGACTATGGAAAGTACCATGTTATCTTAGAGGATATTCTACAGATTGAGTATCCTGCTCTACCCCTTAAGCAGTGTGTGTTGTTTAAATGTCGACGGTTTGATCCTCGTCTGATGTTTGGTACTAAAGTGCATGAAAATTACAAATTTGTTGAAGTGTTAAAGAAAGGATGATTTAACCGATACCAACCATACATTTTAGTACCTCAAGCAACACAAGTGGCATATGTCGATAATCTATGCACAAAACAGAATAGAAGTGAGTGGATGACAGTTTCCAGAGTGCAGCCTAGAGGTGGGTAGATACTGAGATGCCAAAGGAAACCCAAAACATAATGCAACCCTTCCAAGAAAATGTGACAGACTCAACAACCATCATGGACATTTCAGCAAAAGATGACGTTGAAACTCTAATAGGGCAAGGAAATGCATACTTTGAATATTTGGAAGAAGAAGAGCCAATATTAAGTTTTGAAGATTCATGGAATTAGTAAACACAACATATAATGAGTTTGCAAAAAGTGAAAACTATTCATAATAATGTATACTCCATTTTATTCTTTATATCTATTTATTTTCACTTATTAATATTGTTTCTTTAAAACCAAATTAGAATACCTTAATATAATATATGTTTGCATGTGCAGATGACCGGTAAAGGCAAGGGTAAAAAGCAAAAGAGCTTTAAGATACCCTTTTTTGTCAGTTTTGCGAGGGATAGCTTGAGGATATTGAGATAGAGTTTCATGAGCCGATCACGAGATGATGCTGATGCGGGTTATAACAACCCCATTGGCAATACGTCCACCATTGAGATGGATGCTTCAGTATCGCCTCCAACCACCTCACACAAACCTTTGCATTGTGGTGCTAGCATCGCTCGTAGTATATTTATCATCATAAATCCTGATGTTGACTCTTTGATATAGTATGAGTATTGTTTATTTTGATAATTACAGGATCGCACACACTTGTGCTTGAGTCAAATTTACAAACTTTTGATAGTGAGAGTGACCCACAAGATAATGAGTTGGATGACAAAGGGGAAGAGGACGTTGACAAAGAGGAGGACAACCCACTCGAGAGGAATCAACATTTATATGTTGATCCTAATGGCCCAAAAATGTTGGGCCAGAGACATGATATTTTTACTAGTGAGAGTTCCAGGTGTACTTATAATACTTAGTATAACATTTTAAAAATTTCATTATTGTGTTTTTAAATTAAGGATAAATATATAATCATTTGTTTTTTGAATATAGTAATACTGCAGATGGGATCACCACATTTCATCTCACATGGTCAGGCAAGCTTTTGTATGTAGGGCAACAAGATTGTATAATCGCTTTACGTACAATCAATGTAATGTGAGAGTGGTTCACAAAAAGCACCCTAATGAGCTCATTACTTATTGGCACAAGGTGATTTATTTTTAATGTATTACAATTTATCTATATGGATAAGTTATTTTGATATTCATTATCCTACACGTATGTATAGCTTTGGAATTCCAAAGAATTTAAGCATGTTGGCAAATTATCGAGTAGGATTAGGATTGCCCGAGATATACTAGTTCAAATAGGAATAGAATTATGGGTCCTATGCTTAATTAGCTCTATATATATCTTAGCCAAGCTTGAGTTATGATATGAGAAACATATGAGAGTTTATTGTAATTGGTTTTGAGTGATTTCCAGTTATAATAAAAAGATTATTTCCAACCATTGGTATCGGAGCTCAAATAAAAAAAAGGTCTGTTTTGAGTTGTCAATTCCCATCCCCATCAGAATTGCAGCACGCCGTGTCTACTTCCAGATCTCTGCCTCCATCCTCGCCTAGGTCGCGGTACGAAGAAGTCGCCACAACCCAGGTCCCGCCACCGCCTAGTAGCAGAGGTCTCGCCGCCTCTGGAACCCACGCACACGCGGCACAGCCTGTCGCTGAAGGACACAGCAGCAACAGGCAGAGGGTTAGTCCGCCATCCATTATCCGCGTTGAGGAGCCGCGCCGCGTTAAGGAGTCGTCATCGTCCTCAGATTGACGCCGCTGGTTCGAGGAGATCGACGCCGCTGATCCGTCTGTACGCCGCCGCATCCAGTCGCGTGCTGCCATCGTCCACTTGCCTAGCCGTCTTGCCGCTGCCGTCCAGATTCTTTGTCGTACAGAAGCTCCGAAGCCGAAAAAGCGCCCAATGCTGAGAAAATAAAAGGGGGGAAGGAGAACGTGCAGACAGTGCAGTGGTCAGCCCTATTTTTTTCTTTGCTTGGATTGGATTGGGCTCCATTTGATATTGGATCGGGCTCTATTTTGTGGTTTGGGCCAAGATTGAAATGAGTGCGGTGGGCCTGATTTCATGAAAATGGATTGGATTAAACAGGTAAGGTTTAATCAAATTTGCTTTAAACTCAAGTACTGGATCCTGGTAACAAATATGTTATCACTTTTGTCGATAATAGCACGAAGTATTGCTATATTTATTTACTAAAAAGTAAAGATGAGGCGTTGGACACTTTCATTCGGTATAAGAATGAAGTAGAAAATCAACTCAATCGCAAAATTAAAGAGATTAGGAGTGATAGGGGCAGGGAGTATGAAGCTCCATTCGCCGAATTGTGTGCACAAGGGATTGTGCATCAAGTAACTCCGCCATACACACCCCAATCAAATGGTGTGGCGGAACGTAAAAATCGCACTCTCAAAGATATGATGAATGCGATGTTGCTCAGTTCGGGGCTTCCCCAAAATATGTGGAGGGAGGCTATTTTATCTAGCAATTATTTGTTAAATAAAATATCCCGAAAGAAACTCGATAAGACTCCTTAGAGTTGTGGTATAATAGGAAACCTTCCTATAAATACCTGAAAGTGTGGGGGTGCTTGCAAAAGTTTTAGCACCACCACCAAAGAAAATAAAGATTGGTCCAAAGACCGTTGATGGAATCTTTATTGGCTAAAGTGGTAGCGCGTATCGATTCTTAGTGTATAGGTCTGATAATCCAGAAATACATAAGAACACGATAATGGAATTGAGGAATGCATCATTCTTCGAAAACATATTTCCGTTAAAGTCGAGGGAAGAATCAAGTTCTTCCAAACATTCACATGATGAAATGTTGAACGATGGTTCCTCGGATCAGTCTAATACCGGTATAATTGATGAAACCAAAACTGGGACTGAACTAAGACGAAGTAAAAGGACACGGACTAAGAAGTCCTTTGGTAATGATTTCCTAACTTATTTGTTGGAATTTGAATCGGGGACTCTATCATTTCTGATAGAGACTGAACCCGATATTCTAACATGTTTATTAAAAAATGAACCACAAACTTATCGTGAAGCAGTGACTTCGTCTGAAGGCCCTCAGTGGAAAGAGGCAATTAAAAGTGAAGTTGATTCTATTATGCAGAATCACACTTGGGAGTTAGTGAATCTACCTCCCGGATGCAAACCGTTAGGTTCTAAGTGGATCTTCGAAGGAAAATGAGACCAGATGGTTCCATTGATAAGTACAAAGCCAGACTTGTAATTAAGGGTTACAATCAACGTGAGGGCTTTGATTATTTTCATACATATGCCCCTGTGTCAAGGATAAATTCCATTAGGATGATACTTTCAATAGCTTCCCTGCGGAACTTAGAAGTTCATCAAATGGATGTGAAAACAGATTTCCTTAATGGAGATCTAGAAGAAGAGATCTACATGGAACAACCTGAAGGGTTTATAGTTCCTGGTCAAGAAAGGAAAGTATGTAAACTCGTTAAACAGGCGCCAAAAGTATGGCATGAGAAGTTTGACCAGGTAATGATGAACTCTGGGTTCAAAGTTAATAAATCAAACAAGTGTGTTTATCTAAAAAACACATCCCAAGGGTATGTCATGTTGTGTCTTTATGTAGACGACATACTCATAGTTGGTAGCGATGACAAGATGGTCAAGTCTACCAAAGACATGTTAAACTCGCGATTTGACATGAAAGATATGGGTCTGGCTGAAGTAATTCTTGGAAATAAAATTGTGAGAAGACCTGGGGGTCTAGAACTGAGCCAATCCCATTATATCGATAAAATCCTTGACAAGTTCAACAAGGATGACGTTAGAGTAGCAAGGACGCCGTTGGACGTCAATGCACGCCTGGCTAAAAACCGAGGTTCCAGTAACTCTCAAATCGAGTATGCGAGAGTTATTGGAAGTTTGATATATCTGATGAGTTGCACTCGACCAAATTTAGCCTGTGCCATAAGTAAGCTGAGTAAATACACCAGCAATCCGAGTGATGAGCACTAGAAGGCTATTGTACGTGTGATGAGATACCTGCGGTATACACGTGACTATGGATTATGCTACTCGAGATATCCACCGGTACTGGAAGGATACTCGGATGCGAATTGGATATCTGATAGTAAAGGCTTGAAATCCACAGGTGGATATGTCTTTACGCTAGCGGGTGCAGCAATATCTTGAAAATCCTCAAAGCAAACAGCGATTTCTAGGTCCACTATGGAGTCTGAGTTTATAGCTCTAGACAAATGTGGAGAGGAAGCTGAAGGGCTACGCCACTTCCTAGAGGACATTCCAAGATGGGATAAACCGGTC